CAATCAATATATAGAACGCACCTGTACGCTCACCCCCCATACTCCATCATCTCGTACACCTTCGCCACGAAGAAGCCATCGTCCAGTTGTATTAGATCTACACCGAATGGAGTAGTTGCCGTTGCCTTGGATACAGTTACCTCCCTTCGTACAGGGTTATCACGCGAAGCGGGCGCAAACTGGTCGTAGTCGAGGTTATCATCGAATATAAAATTAACCCGGGGCAGTATAGGCGAACTAGGCATGCTCATACACTGGTAGAAATTCGGCGAGGTTCTGAGATGGTGCAAATGGTGTGCTTTGGAAAGGTATGTCGGCGTGGTGCCAGATGACGTGGTAGACGCTAGCATAGACCTCCTTGCGTTCATATTTGTATGCGTATGTGAATGTGCATGCCCACCCAGAGAATTGTCAGCACGGTCTAAACTACCAGTAGATACAGTACTACTCAAGTGATTATCTCTTGATCCGTTACTTGACGTTTCGTTGCTATGACAACAACTGGAGTCTAACTTGATGCTGGGAGCGATTAGGCCGCAAGTGTCTGTGCCAGTACACTGTGCTGAGGGAAAGATATCACTTGCTCTGAGACTAGCGATCCTGTTCCTGTTAGGATCGATCGAACTTGAGCGACGGAGATGCATATTGCCTGAGTATGTGGATGTGTATGCGTATATGTATGTATATTGTACCTGCGCGACTACTAGCTATCGCAATGCCTAGGCCGTGCGTAAGTAATAAAAACTTGGATAACCTCACCCGTTGACAGCCTTGAATTGAGCGTAGTTGAATCTAGGGCACGTGCTTGGATCTGTGTAGTGATACCACTATTGCTATATATTTACCTTATTTTAAGTCCACTATAAAAATCACAATGTTAGGCGTGTATCAAATTTCTCACTGATTGGAGCCTTTGCGTATCTATCGTGTTCTGAAAAGCAAATTGCTCTGTACAGTTGCACAAAAAGCCAGTCCTCACAGAAACGGCTGAAAAAGGCTATTTCCGGTACTAAATTAGGAATCCAAAAAGCGCGGGAAAATGTTGAGAAAGTGATATCGTGCCAAGACTCAAGAGTCACTCGACACCAAAGGCAGTATGTATCTATATGTGTATATATAAACATTATAATTATAATACAATATATACTGAATACATATTATGATTGTTATGATATTACATAACTGATGTGTTTGTTTATGTATGTATGTATGTATGTATGTATGTATGTATGTATGTATGTATGTATGTATGTATAGGGGCTATCTATGTACTGTGAGTAGTATTAGTATATGTTATCTTCTACATTCTAATAAAGATTTATAGTTTTTGGGTGTGTGTATTGTGTTCAAAGCAAGATTGATGTGCACGTCTGTGAGGTTTATATATTGTGTTTCAACACACTAAACTCAAGTTCACTTTAAAAATGTCTAGGTCATATCTATAGTCAATATCAAGAGTCATAACGAAAAATAGCTATAGATCGTGACAAGCATATGCTGCATTGTATTTGATGGCTTTCGAACGCTCATAGCAACTTAGTTAAAACCTCGTGTCGTACACCGGCACCATGGGGACCACAATTGGACTAGACACGCTTCCACACGATGTGCTTCTGATTCTGTTCAGCTATCTGACTCCCCATCAAACTGCCCAGGTAGCGATGACATGCCGAAGGTACGTGCATACACATGCATCGAGATATGACTCGAATAGGGAGTTATATATAGCGCGTGAGATTATAGTACTATTGAGCCAGTCGGTGTTACACAAACACACACACACACACACACACACACACACACACACACACACACACACACACACACACACACACACACACACACAC